CCACAACCACAGTCTAGCCCTTCCCTGGCTCGGGATGTGTTTGTGTACAGCTACAAAATACCTCAGATATTTCCAAGCTGACATATTATATTCCTAAAATATTTGATGCTGCTGAGGCATGTCTGAAAAGCATCTAAAATATACAAAATAGCCTGAAAATATCTCATATTGAGGAGGCTGGGCATTTGCTCTGCCCTCCCTCTGTTTCAAAGGCCTTTTGAGCATCCAACTCTTCCTCCTGTCTCAGGGTCCTCGTGGGTGACTGCTGAGCTGGGCACTGCCCTGTGCTCAGCCCTCTGCTCTGAGACCTTGGTCGTGTCTGTCTTGGCACAAGGAAAATTCATTTCCTGGCCTCAGCGCAGTACAGGCTCATCAGGACCTGGCACAATCACCCTTTTATGTGTGGGAGGGGGCACTGGGGGCCCGGGGCAGCGCCGAGGTTTCCCTGGATGAAAAGCTCTGCTCAGAGGAGGGGACTGAGCCCCCATCCCATCTTCCTGCTGCCAGTGTGGGTTCTCCTCTTGAACACCCTTGGGGTTGGTGTTTTCATTGCCTGCCTTTGCCTTTTGGGGAGGGAGAAGGGGCTAAAGGGGCAGTTTGGTGGGGAAAGGAGGGCTCAGGCTCTGCCCCTGGGCTGCACATGCTGAAAGCTCCGTGTCTGCCCAGCTCCACGGTGTCCAAACCCTCCTGAGGAGCTGGATGCTGCTCTTAGGGATCTGAACACCAAGAAATAAAGAGTTAGAAACAGGCTGGGCTCTCCAAAGCTCCCCAGGGAAAACTTGGCAGTGGCTGGAGGGAGCCACAGGTGGGAGCTGCCCCTCAGGATGGGCCAGAGAAGTGAAGGAGCCTGAGGTGGAACCAGAGGGACTCTGCGGAGGAGAGATGGAAAATGAAATATCCAGACAAAGGAAAGAGGTTGGGATCGTAAGATTGGGCTTGGCAGTGTAAGAAAGGGAAGAGACAAAAGCAGTCTCCGAGCAAAACGCTGGAATTTAACTTTCACAGCTGCAGAAGGAAAACAATGACTTCCCACACAAAACTCACTGATGGGCTGCGCTGATGAGGAGATGTCTGAGGAATTTCAATTAAAAGCCAGCGACACTGACAAAGGCGACGAGATTGAAGTGCTCAGAGGTAAGCGAGCGATGGGAGGGAAGAACAATCACTGGCGAGGGAGGGAACGGTGCCTGCTCGGGGCTGCGTGGGCCGGGCCCTTCCCAAGGCACCAGAGTCCTTGCCCTCCCTGGCAGGGAGCTGGCATCCAGCTCCAGCTGTGCCCCTGCCTTGGGCAGCTCCCTCTGCTTCCCCGTGCCCTCCATGGGGATGTGCTGGCTGCAGCAGGGCTGTCCCCTCTGCCTGACCCCTCCGGGGATGTCTGCTCCTCTCCAGATGGAATTGAGCTCTGGGATTGCCTGCCAGCCCCAGGAGCCCCAGCTGCCCTCCCACACCGCCGAGCAGGTGATGGCACTGCCTGCAGCTCTCCCTCTCCAGCCACGCTGCAGCCAGGGCTCTGTGTGCCCTTGGCACAGGAGCTGAGCAGGGCTGGCAGAGCTACACCAGTCTGGGAGAGGCATGGAGTGGTTTAGGTTGGAAAAGGCCTCTGAAGTCCATCCAGCCCAGCTATTCCTCAGCACTGCCAAAGCCAGCACTGTCCCATGTCCCCAAGTGCCACATGCCCAGGGCTGTTAAACCCCTCAGGGACGGGGACTCCACCCTGCCCTGGGCAGCTGGGCCAGGGCTGGGCAGCCCCTCCAGGAGGAAATTCTCCCAAAATCCACCCTGAGCTGCCCTGGCCCAGCCTGGGGCTGTTCCCTCTGCTCCTGTCCCTGTTCCCTGGGATAAGATCCCAAATGCCCCCGGCTGTCCCCTCCTCTCAGGAGCTGTGCAGAGCTACAAGGTTCCTCCTGATCTCCCTTTTCTCCAGGCTCAGCCCCTTCCCATCTCCTTCAGTCTCCAACCCCTTCCCCAGCCCCATTCCCTTCCCTGCCCACGCTCCAGCCCCTCAGTGTCACGGAGGGCCCAAAACTGACCCCAGCATTTGAGGCAAAGCTTCACCAGCACCCAGCAGAGACAGAGAAGCCCCCAAGGCTTGGCTGGTGGCCCTGCAGCAGGTGACAGCAGAGGCACCACGAGCAGCACATGGAAGGAGCCTGCAGCATCCTTCCTGCAGTCACCATGCGAGGAAGATGAATGTCTTCCAAGCTGGCACAGCTGACACGGTGCCTGGTGGGAATAGCTCGTCCTTGCAGGCTGCCTGCTGGAGAGACAGCTCTGCTCCCTCGAGCTGGCACCAGGAGCTGGCACCAGGAGGGAGCAGGCTGGGCAGGCTGCTGGGAGAGGCAGGGATGGATAGAGCCTGGCCAGGCCCGGGGCACAGAGTAGCTGAGGCTGGGGAATGTGGGGGCAGCTGTGGCACGAGCCAGCTTTGGAACAACCTGGAGCAGTGGCAGGAGGCAGGGAGGGAAGGCCTCACACCGAAATGTCTCGCTTGGCTCTGAGCACGGCATGGAACTTCTGGCACACAGAGCCCTGCCAAGTTCCATGCCAAAGCAAACAGGCAGATTTAAAGCCCTGAGGCGCAGTGTTTGTGCAGAGCAGCTGGGCAGGGCACGGCGCTGGGCCCCGGGTGGGCTCCTGGTGTCTCCAGCCCTGTGCAGAGCTCCGTGCCCAGGCAGGGCTGGCTGAGCAAAAGGCAGGTGCCATTCCCGTGGCTGCTGGCACAGGTGGCACAGGTGGCACCATCTGCCTCTCCGTGCTCGCATGGATACAGCAGCACAACGGCCCCATCGGGCTGACCACCCTGACGGGGACAAGCTGCTTTTCTGCCTTTCAGGACAAATTTACATATCTGTAGACGGCTCGGGGTGCGGCCAGAGCCGTGCCAGCTGCCGCAGCCCCGCTTCCCCGAGGCACGCCGTATCTCCAGGCGTCTGTTGTTCCATTAAGCTATTTTTAGCACACATATCCCCCTTAGTTCAGCTGCCGTTATCTGATTAGTTCCTGTAACTATCTGCGGAGCAACATCTCCAGGCGTGACTGCGATTCTGAGCAGGCTGTGCCTCTGCCTTTCCTCCAGCAGACAACTTGCCGGAGATGCTCCCCGCCGCGGTGCTCCTGCTCTGCCAGGCTGCTTTTGGGGCTGGGGGCAGCGGGGTCGGCCAGGGCGGCGCACCCACCCTTGGCACAGCGGGAATTACCCGGGAGCGCTTCCCGGCTGCCGCCGCCGGTGCTCCGGCGTTGCCCCGATGCGGCGGCGATGAACAGCTGGCTTTGTTTGCTCCGGGCCGCGGGGCCGTGGTGGAGATTTCCATCGTCCTCGCCCGGGGATGGCAGCGGGGCAAAGTCCTCCCGCAGCGGGGGGAGTGCCCCGGAGGTGCGGGTGCCAGGGCAGCGGGTACCGCCTTCCCCCGGTGGGTACGGCCGGGAACAGCCGCGCCACGGCCGTGCCTCGGGGGCTGCTAAAAAACCTGCAGCCCACCCACGGTTCCAGCACTGCACTTTGTTCCCAGGCCTCTATTGACTGCAGCTGTCCTGGAAAATCAGATTATCGAGCAGAGCCGTGGCATCCAGTCTGCTCTGCCCAGGCAGCCCTTCCATCTCCCGGCTGGATCGCCGGGATCGGGGCAGTGGGATGCTGAGCTCCACCGTGACAGCTTTTCCTTGTGTCGGAGGAGCTCTGCAGCCCCGGAGCTCCTCGGCGTTCCCCGGAGCCCGTGACAGCCGTGCCCGTGCCCAGGACAAGGTGGCAGCAGGGGATCTCAGCCAGGAGCTCCTAACCTGGCCCATCTCCCGTCCTTGGTTAAATCCATCAGAACCCTGCTGCCTGCTCCTCCTCCTCCCCGCGGGGCTCTTCAGGGATTAACCACAGATTTAAATGCTCCCAAAGGGAAAGTCTCGCCCATGCCCGCAGTGACAGTGACCCCTCAGCGTCACCACGGCTGTCACCGAGCTCGGTGCTGGCCCAGGCTCTCTGGGACGCTGATCCCTGCCCTGTCAGCTGTCACTCCTGTGCCAGCGCTGTCACTCCATTTTCACCACGAGCCTGCCTTCTCCTGACAGCGATTCACTCCTCGCTCCCGCTCCGCTGTGCCTGTCCGGGCCCCCGATCCCAGCCGGGCTGTGCCGTGCTGCCGGAACATGGCAGCAGCCACGGCGTTCATTCCAGCCCGGAGACCGCCCGTGCCTCAGACGGCACTCGGGAGCCGAGAGAAGCCAAAACCCACTGGAACCCCTTGCCGAGACACACCGGGGAACCCGGGCTCCCGCAGCCCACGCTCCATCCCCCCGTGGCCCGGACCCCGTTCCACCCTTACACCCCCGAGGGACGCTGCCGGCGGCCGGGGGCTGGGACTGCCTCGAGCGGCCCTCCCGCACCGTGCCCGCAAACCCGAGAGGGACGGAGGAGGCTGCGGCACGGACCCCAAAGGGGGCTGCGGGACGGACCCCAAGGGGGGCTGCTGTTCGGAACCCAAGGGGAGCTGCGGGACGGACCCCAAAGGGGGCTGCGGTTCGGACCCCAAAGCGGGACGGACCCCAAACCGGGCTGTGGACGGACCCCAAATCGGGCTGCGGACGGACCCCAAAGCGGGACGGACCCCACCCCGCAAACCCGAGAGGGACAGAGGCGGCTGCGGCACGGACCCCAAATCGGGCTGCGGACGGACCCCAAAGCGGGACGGACCCCAAGCCGGGCTGTGGAGCTGCACCCCCGCCCTCAGGGCTGGTGCGTGCGGCGCTGGGCACCCCACGCCGCTCCCCGGGCTGCGGGTGCCACCCTCCATTCGCCGTTCCCTTCGCTCCTGCAGACCCCCCAGGGGCGCCTCCCGGTGCCCCCACGGTAACGCGCCGCGGGGCCGGGGCGCGCAGGGGCGGCGCGGGGAGCGGGCACGGCGGGCAGTGGTGTCCCTTCCTCGGGAGTGCAGACCCCGTGCACCCCGTTCTCGCCGTGCCCGCTCGTCCGGTTCCCCCCGGTGCCCCCCGGTTCCCCCCGGTTCCCCCCGGTGCCCCCCGGGCCCCGTAACGGCGGCGCGGCGGCGGCCGGGCGGCCCTCGCTGAGCAGCAGCGGGGAGTTCTACGACCTCGCCTTCAAGGTGCGGGACCGGCGGGGGCAGCGGGAGTGCGGGGTCAGGCGGGTGCGGGGCCGGGGTAGCGTCGCCGAAGTTCCCGGGGGTCAGGACCGGGCGGGCATCCCTGCATCCGCTCATCCCTGCATCCCTTCATCCCCGCATCCCCTCATCCCCTCATCCCTTCATCCCTTCATCTCCGCATCCCCTCATCCCTGCATCCCCGCATCCCTTCCTGCCTTCATCCCACTTGCCCGGGTCCCTGCTCCCCTCTCTCCCAGCCCCTCCGCAGCCCGGTCGGGGTCTCGCTCCCCGGGGGCTGCGCCCGCAGAGCCGCCGGCAGCGGGGCTGGGGCTGCGGGACTGCTGCGAGTGGCGGCCAGAGGCTGCTCCGGGCAGTTCTGTGAGCCCCCGATCCTCGGGGACCCCCAGGGAAGCGGGGCTGTACGCAGGCTGGTGGCACCCATCCCTCGCGATGTGCCCAGCCTGCCGCGCTCTGGTGGCTTCTCCTCCTCCTCCCGAGCCTGGCGAGCGACTCACGGAGCGAATGTCTCTGCTTCCTCCCCACTTCACCCTGAGACCTGCCGCAAGCCCAGCCTGGAGCTCGTTTGATGATTTCAGGGCTCGCACAGCGATTGTGGGGCTCGTTTAGCGCTTTGGGCGGGGGGCACGGCTCGGTGAAGCCCCTGTGTGTGTTTGTGACACGGATCTGCGTGCCGAGCCCGGGCCATCGAGCCCGGGGAGCGGCTCTGCTGGGACAGGTGCCACCTGCTGTGTGCGGGGACAGCCTGGTGCCTGGGGCACTCGGTGCGGCTGCTGGGGAGCTTTGGGGTGTGGGGTGGGAGGTGGGGAGCTTTGGGATGTGGGGAGCTTTGGGGTGTGGGGAGCTTTGGGGTGGGGGGTAAGAGGTGGGGAGGTTTGGGGTGTGGGGTGGGAGGTGCTCAGGTTTGGGATGTGGGGTGGGAAATGTTCAGGTGTTCAGGTTTGGGATGTGGGGTAGGAAGTGTTCAGGGGCTCAGGTTTGGGGTGTGAGGCAGGAGGTGCTCAGGTTTGGGGTGTGGGATAGGAAGTTTGGAGCTTTGGGATGTGGGGCAGGAAGTGCTCAGGTTTGGGGTGTGGAATAGCAGGTGTGGAGGTTTGGGATGTGGGGTAGGAAGTGTTCAGGTGTTCAGGTTTGAATGTGGAGCAGGAGGTGTTCAGATTTGGGGTGTAGGGTAGGAAGTGTTCACGTTTGGGGTGTGGGGTTGGAGAGGGACGTTCCAGAAACGTGCTCGGTTGCTTCGGTGGGTGGTTGGTCCTGATACAGCTGCATTAATGGTTCAACAGCTTCCCTAAAATGGAGCCACCTCTGTGTTTGCACTGGTCCTTGGCTCCTGGAGCTCCCCTCTGCCTGCCCAGGCTGGGGCTTTCCCCAGGGATGGTCCCCATGGCCAAGGGTGAGCCAGATGTGTCTCAGATAAGCCCAAACGCACCGGGTAGAGAAAACATCTGCTGATGTCTGGCTGGCTTTGACCCAGTGGCAGACAGAAATTGCTATGTATCCAGTGAAAGCCTGGTTTATTAAACTTTCTCCTTCCCCTGTCCTGAGCTCCCCATCTCTGCCTGGTGCAGTGGCCAGGTCCTGGGCACAGGGCTGGCCCTGGGCACTCTGTGTGCCCAGGTGAGGCTTTGGTGCTGCTGTTGAGGGTCACCTATTCCAAAAAGATGTCTGGAAAAATGTTTTAAAAAAATCAATATTTTGTACTAAAATGACTTTTTTTCGCCCCTTCCCTTGGCTTCACACTGGTGCTCCTGTGGGCTCTGGCTGCCCTCACCCTGCTGTGCCAGGGCTGGGTGCCTGGTGCTCCTGTGGGACTCCAGTGTGGGGCACCGTGGGCAGATCCTGCCCCCCTTGGCAGTGCCAAAAACGAGCTGCACCCGCGGCTGGGGCTGCTGCTGCCTCTCAGGGCTGGGCTGCAGAGGGGGGGTGGCGTTTGCCACCTCTGGCCGCTGCCGGGAGGGCTCGGTGTGACCCAGGGCAGTCCCTGCCACAAAGCCATTTCAATCCTGTCACGGGTTACTGGCTCGTGGAAGGCTGATGGCAGAGCCTCGGGACAGAAGGAGCCTGGCACGGCAGGTGTGCAAGGAGCTGGCACAGCCCCTCTCCCTGTCCCGGATTTCTCGGTGTCATCCTGCCGAGGGGAGCAGGGTCGGTGCCCTGGGGGCAGCAGGGCTCTTGGTGTGGGCAGAGGTTTTGGGGGGCTGCATTTGGAAGCAGCCTCAGCTCTGCCGTGGTTGCTGGGTGGTGAGGAGCTGCCTGCTCTGTGTGTGCCCAGGGCGGCTCCTGGGCGGGGAAACTGAGGCAGGTGGCACCCGCAGCTGCTCCCTTGGTATCTGTGGAGGACTGGGAGGGCGGCTGTGGCACGTGTGGGTCTGGCTGAAGGAGGGCAGAGTGCACCCTGGAGCTGGCACTCGTGGCTGGGGACCCCAGGGGCAGTGCCACATCCTGGAAAGCCCCAACGTGGAGGGCAGTTTGTGGGGACAGCACGGGCAGCTCTGCCACTCCTGCATTCCAGGGGTTTTGTGCCCCCATGAAGGATCTGTTAAGTGCCTGTCAGGGGAAGGCGTCTCCAGTTTGGTGACACGGTGCAGGGGGTGAATACTCCCCTGGGTCCGAGGACATCGCTCTTGGCTGTGCCCCCTCCCCTCGAGGACCTGCTGCGATGGAGCAGGGTGGTGGCGGCAGTGGGGCTGCCCTGGAGCCTCACACCCCTCCCTGCCTGCCTCCCTCCCTGCAGGTGATGCTGGTGGGAGACTCAGGGGTCGGCAAGACCTGCCTGCTGGTGCGCTTCAAGGACGGCGCCTTCCTCGCCGGCAGCTTCATCTCCACGGTGGGCATCGACTTCAGGGTGAGTGCCGGGGCCCTGCGGGGCTCTGCAGGTGAGACGTGGATTTGCAGAGGGGAGTTAAATGTTGCTCTGAGGACTTGAAGCTCTCCCGGTGTGTCAGCTCCAGCTCGGGGGTGACAGCAGCAGCAGCAGCAGCAGCAGCATCTTTGTTGCAGTTTGCACAGGGATGGGGCAGCCTGTCCTCTGCTCAGCATCCTGGGGATAATTCCTGTAACAACTGAGGCCTGACATCTGCCCATGAAAATATTTCCCCGAGGCATTTCCTGTGGTTTTTGAGAGTTGTTAGTTTTTTTCTTGAAACAGCAAAATGAAAACTGATAAAAACCAGAATGGCCTGGAAGAGTCTCCTGAGCACAGCTTTGGGGTGCTGACGTGGGGATGTTTTGTGCTGAGGGATCTCTGAGGTCTCTGTTTGCTTGGGAGCAGCTGGAGCATCCTGATGCTGGAGAGTGATGGGGGCAGCAGCCAGAGCTGTGCAGCTCCAGCAGGGACAGTGGGAACCTCAGGGAACCCAGGGAGGACAGTGCTCCACTCGGGGAACAACAGCGGGGCTGAGGTCACGTCACACCCTGCCGTGCCCCGGCGTGCCCAGGGCATCCTTTGCCAGGCAGGAACACCCGAGGCCAGAGCCCTGGTAACCTTTCCTTGGCCGTGTTTCCCTGGCAGTCCCGTGCTGGGGGGGCTGCCTGGGGTCTCTGTGCTTCCCCCAGGCCCTGCCAGAGGGATCCCCACCCGTGGGGTGTGACAGCCACAGGAACGGTGACTTTACAGAGGTGCCACCAGCGAGCCTCTCCAGCAGCTGGAGCATCCTGATGCTGGAGAGTGATGGGGGCAGCAGCCAGAGCTGTGCAGCTCCAGCAGGGACAGTGGGAACCTCAGGGAACCCAGGGAGGACAGTGCTCCACTCGGGGAACAACAGCGGGGCTGAGGTCACGTCACTCCCTGCCATGCCCAGTGTGCCCAGGGCATCCTTTGCCAGGCAGGAACACCCGAGGCCAGAGCCCTGGTAACCTTTCCTTGGCCGTGTTTCCCTGGCAGTCCCGTGCTGGGGGGGCTGCCTGGGGTCTCTGTGCTTCCCCCAGGCCCTGCCAGAGGGATCCCCACCCGTGGGGTGTGACAGCCACAGGAACGGTGACTTTACAGAGGTGCCACCAGCGAGCCTCTCCAGCAGCTGTGCAGGGCACCAGGCGGTTTTGGCACCAAAGCAGCAGCCAGCAGCACGCCTGGCTGGCCAGGATCAGCTGCTCCCTGGCCCTCAGCAGTGCCCCAACCATCTGCTCCCTCCAAAGTGTGAGCTTGTCACCTCCTGGCATGTCTGGCAGTGCTGTGAGCTTGTCACCTCCCGGGGTGTCTGGCAGTGCTGCTCTCCCTGCCCTGCTCTCTCCCTGTGATGGATTTGGCTCCATGGGGGCTCTGGTGGGTGCAGTGAAGAGCTGCTGGTGATGCCACACACCAGTGCTGTGTCTTTCCCAGCAGGATGTCAGATCCTGACTTTTCTTGGAGGATTTCTGGGGGATGAGTGTCTCCTGTAAGCTGCTGCCTGCCTGGGGTGTGGGTGCCAACTCTGGTGCAGTGACATTGGGAGGAGAAGGACAGCTCAGGAAGCCCTGAGGAGGGAAGGGATGTTCCGTGCCTGGGGGCTGCTGCAGGTGAAGTGGGTACACTGGGGTCTGTGAGTAATTACACAGTGTTCAGGTGTTCTTCAAATAAAAGCATTTTGTCACTGATGGGAGTGATTGATACAGAGGGCAGCCATAAAACCCTGTGACTTATTGATTAGAGCGCTGAAATGACTGTTACTGAGAAGCAATCAAATTAGAGTTAATTTACTTCTCTAACAGAGCTGCTAGAGCTGCATGTGTCTGAAATGGGCAGATTATACAGTGGGGGAGATCACATGTATGCCCTAAAACTCATTATTATTATCCTTGTAGGGCATTCATAATTTTGGGGGGACGCGGGAATGGTTTTTTGATGTGCCTCTGCATTCCCACCAGGATAATCCTGTTTGCTAATTGTCCCCCTCACCGTGGGCACCGATGACGCTCTGGGGTGGCAGCACTGGAGGCTTCTGCTGCTTTTAATTTGTGTCTTTTTAATCACGGGGCTGTCGTATCCCAGCTCCTCTCTGCAGCCCCGAGTCTGGCAGGGGTGTGCTGGCTGGAGCAGGCTGGGAGCTGTCACTGAGGTTTCTGTGTTCTCCTGGCTGCTGTGAGAGGTGCTGAGCGAGCACGGGGGCTCCCCCTGGGGCTGTGGCAGGGTTTGTGCCACGCTCGGAGCCTGGCTGGCACCGGGGACTGCAGGGACCTCCCCAAGGCCAGCGCGGGTGGCACCTGCGCTCCTGTGCACGCCCGGCCTTGCCGGGGACTGCCAGCTCCCTGGGGCCATCCTGGCCTGGGCACCACGGGCACAGGGCTGGCACAGCTCCAGACACTGCCCTGGCACCATGCCCAGCTCCAGGCACTGTCCTGGGCACCATGCCCAGCTCCAGGCACTGCCCTGGGCACCATGCCCAGCTCCAGGCACTGCCCAGGCACCATCCCCAGCTCCAGGCACTGCCCTGGGCACCATGCCCAGCGCCAGGCACTGCCCAGGCACCATCCCCAGCTCCAGGCACTGCCCGGGCACCATCCCCAGCTCCAGGCACTGCCCAGGCACCATGCCCAGCTCCAGACACTGCCCAGGCACCATCCCCAGCTCCAGGCACTGCCCTGGGCACCATCCCCACTCCAGGCACTGCCCTGGCACCATCCCCAGCTCCAGGCACTGCCCGGGCACCATCCCCAGCTCCAGGCACTGCCCGGGCACCATCCCCAGCTCCAGGCACTGCCCTGGGCACCATCCCCACTCCAGGCACCCTGCTGTCCCCCAGGCCAGCCCAGCTTCCTCCTCTCCCAGTCCATCTCTGATCCCAGAGGGCTCCAGGATTCACTGCTCGTGTTCAAGGATGTCAAACCATCAGATGCACCCAAAGCCGTGGCTAATGCATTGCACAGGCCAGAGCGAATGCAAATGAATAGAAACCCATTTAAAATTAATCTGGCATTACTGTTCCTAATGGCCCCTGAGGTTTGTTCCCTCCTCCTGCTTTATGTGAGGGAGAACCTCCCGCGACGTGTTTGTTTATTATCATCTCTTAAACAAAGAGGGATGTTGATCTGAATGTGTTTGGAAAACAAACCACAGATGCTGGGGAAATAAAGATGATTTTAATATTAAAAAAGGCATCAAGATGGCACCTGTTGGCTTCCAGCTTTGGGGGTGCTGAGTCCTCAGCATCCATCCTGGGAGAATTTGGGTTGATGGGGGAGCATCTTTAGCTCCTGGGGATGATTCCAGCCTTCCCAGCTCAGCTGGGACAGGGCCAGGTGTCCCCAAGGTGAGGGTTTGGCTGGGGGTGCAGGGATGGGTGGGTGCCATGGGGGCAGGGCCCTGGGTGAGGGGTGCTGCTCCCAGCAGAGCTTTGGCTGAGCAGAAACCTCTGTGTGAGCAGAAACCTCTGAGCAGAAACCTCTGTGTGAGCAGAAACCTCTGAGCAGAAACCTTCTGCTGCACTTCTGCAGTGTGAATGCACTTTTCCACTCTACAGCCTTGGGATATGGACATGTACTTTCACTGCTCCTTCTAAAAGTCATCTTTGGACAAATGCACAGTGATTCTTGCTGGATCAAAAAATGTGTATGCAGAAGTAGGAGAATATGGGTGGCCCTGGGCCCATCTCATATGTAAACCAAGAAATTATGTGAGCAGAACCAAGCACTCTGTGCTCTAGGAAAATTACTTATTTTTCTCTACCGCAAGGCAAGAAAAATTTTTTTAAAAAATCTTGGATTTTCAAACTGGCCTCTGAAATGAACTTATAATCCAATATCCAATGACTGAATAAACTCCACTCTCATGCAGTTGCAAGCTGGGTGACTGAAATGACAATTGTCTTGTGAAATTGAGCAAGGCAAGAGTTTTCTACTAATTGGACCTGAAAGGAGAAGAAGATAAAAGAAAAAAATATTAAGGATGAGCCTTTTCTCCCTGGGAAGAAGTGCTAATGAGCTTCTTTGCATTAGCAGGGGTGATGGCTCCTGTGTTAGGTGGGGGATGAGACCCCTGGGGAGGTTTTTGGTGGAGCTCAGAGCAGGGTGGCTCCTGTCGGTGCTGTCCCAGGTGTGCAGTGGTGTCACTGCTCTGCTCCCCGAGCACAGGGAGCACAGCAGCAGCTGCCAGGCAGGGGTGGCACAGGGGACAGTGCCCTGGGAGGCTCAGCTGTGATGTGCACAGCTCCACAGGGCTGGGGGGTTCGCATCTCTGGTTGTTTTTTGTTGTGTTTGTGTGTGCCCCTTCCACGGGCTGCCCCCGGCTCTGCAGCGAGCTGGGCTGTGCAGGAGGATGGGAAGCTTTGCTCCAGCCCTGCGGGGTGTGCAGAGGAGCAGTGACCATGGTTTGGATCCACCCAGGCTGGTGCTGGCTGGGCATGAGCTGGGAGAGGGCTGTGGGTGCCCTGAGCATCTGCTGGGCCCCAGTGGGCACCCACAGCCCTGCCCGTGGGGCACTGCTCTGGTCCCAGCAGGTGCCCTGATCCCAGCCCTCATCCCTGCCTGTATCCCAGCCTTCATCCCAGCCCGCATTCCAGCCCTCATCCCTGTCCACATCTCTGCCCATATCCCAGCCCTCATCCCATCCCATCCCATCCCATCCCATTATCCCATTATCCCATTATCCCATCCCTCATCCCAGCCCTCCCAGCCTTTTCCTGGTGCCTCCCCCTGAAGGGCAGGAGCAGCCTGGAGCCTCCTGAAAGCCAGGGCTGGCTTTTATCTCAGCAGTTGGCACAGAGCATTAGCAGGGCTCATTTGCTGATGGATCAATCTGGAAAAAGTGGGAGGGGAGCTGCTTAGGCCAGAAGAAAGAAAAGGAAATAAATTAATTTCAGTGTCTCTCTGTGCAAATCAGCCCTGGATGTTAGAGGGAAGGGGCTGGGCAGTGTTTTAGTCTCTCCTTTGCTG